TTTTGCGTGGAATCTAAATATCAGTGGATAGTAGTAACACCTGCATAAATGTTTGAGTCAGCAAATCCAAAACTTTATAAATTATAATTTTTATTATAAGTATGTGAATTGTTATATTATGTGTATTTATATAAAGTTTCAGACTATACCTTTTTTATCGACCTATGCTGTATCTACAGCTAGGAGTGTCTGGAATCATGGGAATTAGTGAAAGTGTAAAAAAGGCTATAAATGTTAGTTTCAGTTTTCCAAAGCCTGTACATATATATAAAAGCTGTTTTAAAATTAACACTGCACAGATAATTTATTTTGTAGTTATACCACATAACTCTCTTCCTTATAGCATCTACAAAACTCAGTACCTGAGATTATTTACTTTGGTATTACAGAAGTCCCAGTCATGGAGGGAAATATTAGGAGCTTTATTCAAAGTAGAACATATGATAAAATCGTAGTAGAACATGAAGAAAAGGAAAATACAGCTAAGATTGCCACTCGTTGGCAAGCACTGCAACATGGTATAAAGCCTGGTTCTCTGAGTCAGTGTTTTTCTTTCCCTCTGAACTTTGTGGTTGAGGAACTAGTCAGCAGCGCTGATAAAAGCAGCAAGAAATTCTGGAATTTGCTCATGAGGGTATATAGTCTTTGCAAACCCAGTGGCAAGAATTTGTGAGCCTAGCCTGCACCACATCACATTGCGGTTGTCCTACATAGCTGGATATTTAACGGCTCACTATCTACTTGAATCTACAAATGAAAATACTGGTTTCTTCATTTTAGATTTTAAGATTACTAAAACAATTTCAGCATGTGCTGGAAATCTTTCTTCTGTCCACATCAGTCAATACAAGGGGGAGGATTGCTAGGTTCGTTGTGGTGAACCGATTTTAAACACTACATACCTGAATGCTGTAGGGGCAGACATCCACAGGACAACTTTGATGAAATGTTCAGCAAGCATGAGCAAAAAATGTAGCAACTGATAGAGGGAGAGAGAATTTGGTATTTTTCCCCCAGAAAGCACATGCATGTGCTTGTTCTCCTGTAGATATTGATTGTATTAGAAAAGACTACTTAGAGGACTCTTGCAATAGGAAGGAATTGGAAGGAAAGCATCTTGTGGACTGAGGACTTTGTAAAACTCTGAATAAAGTACTGGCTATTACAAAACCAATAAGAACTCTGAAGTTAGGCATTGGAAACAGATACATATGCTTATGTAGAGTCATTGCTTCACAATATGATGTATCTCTTCTTAAATGGTAAGTGGTTTGGAGAACTGATGAGAGGACTCAAGCATCTTCAATATTGTTGGATGTCATCTGTATTGCAGGATGACAGGCAGAGCCCATTGAAAGTTATTGATCAAGGACTGTTACAACCAAAACCAAAAATGCGCTCTCTCATGCCGTCAAAATAAGAATAATTTAGGTTTATTTATTTCACAAGTAGTACTTGTAGTGCTGATTGGTGTGGATAAGTTAAAATATTTTCCTGGGTTTAGATCATGCAGGGTTTTCAATGAAGATACTGACTTTTGGACAGACCCCAAAACCTCAAATTGTTTCCATGATTTCCACTTTTTGGGATTCCAGCCATGTGTCTTCTGGGGAGGACACTGATATTCTCTTCTTAAACAGCATCAGTACTGCAAAGGTACTGTTCAGTCAAAGGTGGCATCAAAGACCAAGCCCTGTGGGCTGCTGCTATGAGCCAGAAAGGGAGACTGTGAGGTCCTCAAAGGCATGGGAGATGGAGCTGGGGATGGTGAGGAAGAACTGAGAGGGCAGGCAGTAGGTGCTGGGGTAGTACTAAGTAGGAAGGGGTAACCTGGGGGCCTAAGTGAACAGCTCTGTGAGCATTCCCAGGGAGACAGTGCTCAGTACCACAACATTTTTGCCAGAAAGCCAAAAAGCAGGAAAACGAGAGAGGAGGAAGTTTAGCCTGGTGATAATTTTAGAGTGATAAACCTCTTGGTAAACACATAACATGTTGGAGTGTCTTCTGTCAGTGACTTTCTGGCACCTGTTATATGCTAGTAGTGAATAGCAGGTCATTCATCCAGTCCTGGAAAAGCCTCTCTACCCATATGTCTGTTCAGAGTGTTTCTGAACATTACCTGCACATTCTTCATGCAGACTTCAAAATAGTGAAGTAGATCAGAAGTTAATGCTTCAATTTTACTTTTAGGAGAATTAATCTTTTTTGTTCTAAGAAAGCTAATAACATACAAAGCAGGCATCCAGCTTTCAAAAATGCATGAAATTCAGTGATTTTATAATGCTTTTAGAATGGAACAGATTTGAGGCAGAAAAAGCCATTATGTATCCCCCAGTTGTGTTCATTCCTCTAAACAATCATTAAAAACAGGCCAGGTTGTTTTTGGAGTGAATGCTTTCACTCTTCTGTATTATTAAGATTACTAATACAGGTTGCTGCTGCCTCCAGAAAAACAAATAAATATTTTTTCAGCTCTTCTCTGAGCTTGTTATAACAAGTGCTGGTGATCAATTAGCTAGTTCATTAAAAAGTTGCACATGATTTTATTGAGGCAAGCAATTCTGAATCAAAGAACCCAATTCGCAGATCTAGGTTGAAACACATAATTGGTATGTATTTTAGGATTGCTGTTAAAGCTATAAAAAAGATTTACTAGGGAAGGAATGGATCCAAAAACCCTAAAGGAAGGAATATGTTATTTGTGTGATCCAGTGTTACAAATGGACTCATTTAATACTAAGGTCTTATCTACTAAAACAAAAAACTGAAATGAATGTAAAACTTCTTTGATTTAACTTCTTTAGCAAGAAGTTATCCTTCATCTGATACACATAAATTCATACTGCATTTCTTCTGCTATGATTTTTACTATTGCTATCAAAGATACATTTTTATTAAATCATACACATTTCATTGAAAAGTCAACACCATGTTAACTGTAAAACAAAACTGTATAAGTGTGTTCACCATGTTGTTGACATCCACAGTGATTCTGAGATTAAAGTCCCAGTTCTACAAACAGTTCTGCAAGCACAACTTAGTGGGGAACCTTATACACATGCTAGTAGGACATGCTTGAGAATTTGCAGGGTGAAAGAGAGGGAAGGTGCGTCATTCAGAGGATGTTTTAGAAATAGTGGTGCTTTAGTCTGAGTTTACAAGTGGGCCAAATCTTGAAACTGGGGGTTGGAATTTTGGGTTAAGAAAGCTTTATTTTTTTAAATACTTGGAAGAAGTTATTTACTGGTGACTGTTTCCAGCACTTGTTTAAGCAAAAGAAAGACATTTTGGGTTTGGAACTGAGACGTATAAATAATCAAGTCTTAAATATATTAAAATGTACACAGAATCTACTTTCTGTTATAATTTTGGTTGCTTGATTGCCACAATCTAAAAGCTTCTGTAGCTGATATTGCTGTTGGATTTTATGTGATGGCACTGGGGCAAGTTTTTCAACTATTAGCCTTCCCAAGGGTTCTTTTCAGACAAAATGTTATGCATCAGCTCTTATTTGAGTGTAAGCCTATTGAGCCGCATTCTTCTCTCTGCCAACTTGGCAGCAAGTTCTTGTGCTAATAAAAGAGGTTACCCCAGATAGCGATCCCAGATGTGCCTGAACTACTTTTATTAGGACTATGGAGAGGCTCAGTGTTTCCTTCTAACTGTTTTCAAAAATGGTGTGGGCTTGCCTTCATAATTGCCCGAAGAATTGTATTACATCACTGGAAGTTTTTTTCTCAAAGCGAGTAAAATGTATGGGTTAGCACAGAACCCTGCTTAGGAATTACTCAAAACAATTGTTCAAAACAATGAATGCCTTTTGTCACAGTACAAACCTTGATTTGACCTTCCTGAATTCTGTTGAGAAGAGAACATTGCTGTTTAACATCGAGTTAAAAATACCTTAATTTATTACATATTAATAAGACTTAGTATCATGATTAGAATAAGTACTAATAGATGTTTCTCAGAACAGCAATATATCTGTGATATCTGACATACTCGGCTATAATGACAGTTATTCCTTGAAACTGTTGAACACTGTGTTTTGCAGAATTAGTATTGTACTTGGTGATAAGGCCAACTTAGTGATTGCCTGATACTGGGCTATTGTAGACTGGAATTGCTAACATTGATATTCTTCTTCTCTTTTTAAGTACTATATAGCAATTAGTTCAAGAAGAAGTTTTATTGCTAAAACGTATTCAAAATTTCTCCATACTATTTAGTTTCATGTGTTGGCAGCAATTTTGAAACTGCAAGAAATAGGGTAATCTAACTGAAATACCTAATAAAATAAATGTAGTCTGTTAAACTACTGTTGCTATCCATAAATCATAAATAATAAGATATTTACAGTCTTAAATCATAATTTTGATTTTCCTTTCAAGGCCACAAGCTTCCTGTTGAAACATTTATTGTTGTCAAAATGTGAATAGAGAAAACAACATTTTAATTAAAATAACTCATTGCTTGCTTGTATCGTTCATCTTATTATTAAATTATGAAAAATGAATGGTGCTTTAATTTCTGGTCATGTCTCTGGCTGATTTTTATTGTAATTGTGTCAGATATTAAAAAAAAATAAACTGCACAGTGGATTCATTTCATAGTGAAACACACTATAGTATCCATTTCAGATTTTCAAAAACAGGGTTTGACTCAAAGGCTCCTATTAGTTTCAATGGGCTTTGGATCAGGCACAGGGTTAACAGCTTATTTTTCAAACAACTAGAAAGAGGTGTAAATGTCAAAGGTGATAGCTATACTGTGAGTTCCATAAACTACAAAAAAAAAAGTTACTACCAAAGCTCTTTTTTCCATAGTTTAGCAGCTTTATGAAAACAGTGTTAATAAGTATATCAGGAACAGTATATAATAATGAATCAGATATGTAAAAACAAACCCTTTAAAATTCCTTTTATATAATAATTGGAAAGTTAAAAGTGACTTAAAATCACTGACTTCTCATGCTGTGATGCAAATTGTATTTTTTTTAGGTTCCAAATTCAAAGAGGGAAAACTGATCCAACCGGTTACAAGAGCCTGGGGGACTGTTTTAGGACTATTTTCCAACGAGAAGGGTAAGAGTATATGGTTTTAAAATTGTCAATTTTATGTTACCTTTTTTAATCACCCGTTTTCCAGACATTAGATCCTCTTTATTTTCCACCCCATTTTTGCAATTGCCAGAATTTGGCAAACATGTTGTCTTACATAATGAGCACAATTTGAAAAGTCTTAGCATTACTTATACTCACAATACCAAATTTTACTATTAGGATACATTTAAAAAGCAGGAGGCACAGCTCTATAGAGCTGGAGCAAACACTGCTTCAGTTCTGGCAGCAGGATGGCTGTGTCAGTGTAGTGCAGTATCTAGGCTTTTGTATCTTGTCCTGGTTTTCTGAACTGGCTTAGCCTGAGCTATTACCAGTTCAGTGAAGTACTGGTTTCCAAGCTGTAATGAATTCCACAGCTTTTCAGTTTGAGAGAATATGGGAAAGGATTTATGGTCTTCAGTCACCTGAATCATACTGGCTTCAGAAGGTACCACTATTCTAAGCCTGAGCTCCTGTAAGAGACTTAGGTTCTGATCCACAAAGGCATTTAAATGCATGCTTAATTTTATGACCAGTCAGTCCAGTTAAAGCCATTGAATGTAATGGGACTGATCATATGCTTAAAGTTAAGCCTGTTATCCACAGGAGCTCTTTGGGAGCTAGGCTTTAATCAACGTAACTCTAATTAGTAGATCTCAGTTTTGAGCAGCTGGCAGGCTTTCCACGAGGACTTTGTAAATATATTAGCAACCCATTTTTTATCTATATATTCATCAAAATGAAACTGTTCTTATATATAATTGCATAGATACCATGTTTGGAGGCAGCATAGGTGCAGTGAGGCACAGACTTCTTGTGTCCACAAGCTGTACCGAAAAAATGGAGGTTAGACAAGTGGTAAAAATTAAGAACTAGATCTATTTTGTTTCATGCAGTGAGTTTAGCTAAGCTACTCTGCATAAGTATGTAGATATAGAACTGGGTGGTTTGAAATGCTGAAGTAGCTTCTGGTGTTTTCAAAGCTGAGTATATGTCAATTTTCATTGCTTTTCAAAAGAAAACTGTATTTTTACAGAAGGAAAGTATCAACATTTACAATCATGGCAATTTATTTTTAAATACAGAATTAGTTTCAATATTTATGTCAGTGAGCATGAAAATGCCATGTATCTTATCCAAGCTCACTGGTATAAACATGATTTTTTTTTATATATTTATATCAAGGCATGACTCTGTAAACCAGAAAATATGATTGCATGAAATTATTATAGATTTAAGTCATAATTTAGCAGTGGGTTAAACTAAATTTCTTTCAGGCTAGAGCTAATACAGAGTTTTACTTGCCTGTAGCAAACAGAGTTTGAACTAAACAAAAAGCAAATTCTATGAATACTTAGTTTTCCCCAGGAAGTTAAACAGAGGCAGATGGTCACCTTTAAACAGTCATCAGTGGTAAGCACTAGGGAGAAACGAGACAAAGAATCTCAGATACAGTATAATCTTAAATTTCATTTAAAAATTAAAAAAATAAAATACCTAATCCTGAAAAACCTCTTTGACTCCATGAGTCTTGCATTCCCATCTGCACCAGTTGTCTGGTTTCTGAAGCATGGTGATTATGACACTTGTGAGGGCAGTGAGAGAGATGACTGTGAAGTTTTTAGTTAATGGAAACCTTGAATCCTGATAACCCCATCCTTGAGTGACCACAAAAATATGCAGAAGAGAGCACAAAGAAAGGGCTTCACATTTAGATAACAAGGAAACAACAATTTATGAGGTGTTCAGATTCAGATGTATAAATCTGGGAGAAAAGTAAGAAATTCATTCATGCCCCATATTTATTTCATGTTGGCAATACAAAATAGCCCCATTAGTGTGTGGCATTTTCAGACTGAATTAGACTGATCTAATTCGGTATACACTGACTATAAAAGACTCTCAGCACCTCTCTCTAGCACTCAGAATTCCTTACTTTCATATGTGATTTTATGTTATGTTGACTACAAAAGAAACTAAATAAAGGAACACAGTGGGAAAAGAAATGTTACTGATGGTCTGCTCCTGAAAATGTTTATGTTTGGGAATAGTGCTTATGCTCATTTGTACTTGCATTTTCAATAGCAGCAACTATGGTGAGCTAAAATGTCAGAGCCCAGCTCAGACAAGACACTTCCTAATGCCTTAACTTTTTGACCTTGTTATGTTGAGGTTAAGTATGCAGAATCAGCCTGGGAAGGACTTATCTTTATAAATACGTATGTAAACGTTCCATTTGCTGCAATGCTTTCTACTGAAAATTAACCAGTTTTACATTATGACAGTGTAACAGTAGCAATCAGATGACTTCATGGAAAGCTTCCTCATCACAAAAAATGGCCAGGATTTCTTTAACGTCCCTCTGATTTTCTGTTCATTATAATAAAATGGACAGAGGAAATGTTTCCACTGTAACCACTATCAGAACACTGTCCTTTTCAAGGAATCTGAAGACTCCTTTATCTTTACAAATTTTTAAAAAATTCATTAGAAATTTCTTAACCAAAAAAAAAAAGAAAAAAAACTACCAAAAAAAAAAAAAAACACGGGGAAAAAAAAAAAGCACCCTTCCCCCAAACTTTGAGTGGCTCCTCAGATGGAAATAAACTTTCTCCACAGGGAATTAAATTCTTCAAAGAAAGATCCATTCCTTGAACTCTTTTCTTGTCTTACAAGAAAACGGGAGCCACAAAACATAAAATTTAATTGAGACTCACTAAAGGAAGGTTCAGTTGAGCAGAGCATTAAAGGTCACAGAGCTTTCTGTTAAAGCGAGGCAGGAGTATCAACTTGAAGGCTTTTGTGAACTTGTGTTGGGAGCATCCAGTTGCTGCCAATTGCACAGGGGCTGCATCAGTGTGAATCTTTCAGTGGTGAGCAAGCTCTGCTCAGCTGGATTTGCTAGGAGCCATGCATCAGAGGTTCTCTGGTTTCATTTATGAGATGATGCATGAACTGACAGATCTTTGACAACAGAGGTGAACCCACCAGGAGCATATCTGTTTATTGAGGAGCGACAGCTTTATAGCCAACATAAAAATAATCTGATGTTTACTGGGGAAAATGTTTGGATACAGGATTAACTGAAACCATTAATAGAGAAAACTTTTCATTCTTTTTAGATCCTAAAAATAAGAAGTTAGGTTATGTTAAATGACTGATTTTTGTATCATCATCATCTTAACTGCATTTGTATTCGCTCACTTTTTCTCTGATAATGACTTAGGTTTGAATATGAAATGTAAGAATAAACAAACCGTCTAGCTGAATGTATATGTTGCATTTATATTAAGGACACATGGTGTTGTGTCTCATATTAAGAATGGAAAATTATGCCCATCTGCACTGTCTTAATTTGGAGTTACAGCATTAAAGTGATGGATGCTGTTATTTCGAGTCTATAAACAACTTTGTTCTTATAAACTGGGATTTTCATGGGGTCATAATTTTAACAGTAAATGTTCTGGGTTACAGTTGGCTTTTTTTGGTACACACTCACTTAAGAAACCTGTTACTTTCTCTGTTCATTAGTTAACTTGCCTGAAACAGAAAGGGCAGTAATATCCTGGTTTCCAGCTTTGTAACTCAGCCCTTGAATAAGTTACAGTTTAAAGTGCTGTTAGCCTTCCTTAGAACTAGATGGTCCTGGAAAAGTGCAAAACACAGTTGTCATTGATCACTTGAGACTTCGTTACTTCTACTGAGTTATTTGACTATGTTGAACTTGGTTTGTGAAGGAGCAATTACCTCTGTGTTTACACAGCACTGTAGCTTAATAATTATTCCTGTCTTGTTCTCAGCACCACCTTACCACTCTCTTGTATCTATAATTCTCTGTATGACCACACACCTTTTTTTTTAATAAGCAGTGCCCTGACTCATACATTAGAGGGATTAGATTATAAAGCTACACAAAATTTGTCAGCTATGGGTGGAGTAGGTGGGAGAACAGCCAAGACTAAGCAGGAGCTGGATGAGCACAGAGTTGTCAGCAAACATGCAGAAGCTGGAGCATTCCTGGTTTACGTGAGATCAATGTTCATCAATTAAGGAATTTGCTAGCACTCTTCTCTGTCCTGCCTACATCCATCAACTCTTTGTTGTGGTAACAAGTTCTTGAGAGACTACAGCAGTGCTCTTGAGGCCTTGCTGTAGGTGATACACTGCTGCTTCTAGTTGCCAACAGGTCAGGGAAGGAGACTTACAGGATTGCCAGCCCTGCAGGGAAGCACCGACCTCTCACACTCACCAGTAACCATCACTGCCTGTTCCAGGGGCCCAGCTGAATGTATGCTCTTCCAGCTGGGCTGAGGAGACCTGTCAAAAGGCTGCCAAGTAAGTGTTATACAAGATAGAAATACTTGGCTACCTTGCGCCTGAATCTGTCAATGAAATTGCCGACCAGGGAAGTGTGACATGGTCAGTCATGCCAAAAATCCCTTTTCCCTGTGAGCAGTTATGAAGCAGCGATCCATTTCCATTTTCTGGAGGCATAAATTCCTGTGGTATCAAAAGACCAGACTTTGGGCTCTGCTTTAAGTGCTCTGAACAAGCAGAAGTAGTAGATTAAGATTTTATTTCCCCCCACAGCTATCTGCCCCACTTTTTGATTTGTTATTTAGCACTTCATACCAGGAGGAGCAGAAGTGAACTTGGATCCATGCTCACTTGCTACCTTCGAGAATCTTGTTTCTTAGTAGAGATCAACCTGCACTTATAGATCACAGTATCACAGTATCACAGTATGTTAGAGATTGGAAGGGACCTCAAAAGACCATCTTGTCCAATCCCCCTGCCGGAGCAGGAACACCTAGATAATGTTACACAGGAATGTGTCCAGGCGGGTTTTGAATGTCTCCAGGGAAGGAGACTCCACAACCTCCCTGGGCAGCCTGTTCCAGTGTTCCATCACCCTCACTGAGAAGAAGTTTCTTCTCAAGTTTAAGTGGAACCTCTTGTGTTCCAGTTTGTACCCATTACCC